AAGCAATGCAATAGGAGAAGGTCATATTCTTTTAAGCGGGGGAAACTTTTGAGCAACTTGCAATAGGAGATAAATATAAATATCTAGGAATACATGAATCAGGAAAGATAGAACACAGCATCATAAGAGATCAAATAACTAAAGAATATTTTAAAAGAATCAAGAAACTACTGAACACCCACCGTAACTCACGATATTTGATAAAAGGTATTAATACATACGCAGTCCCAGTTTTACTTTACTCATTTGGCATAATAAATTATAAAAATAACGATCTTAAGAAAATAGATATAAAAACAAGGAAATTACTAGCAATTAAAAAGGTACATCAGCAAAAAAGGCAGAAATAGAAAGGCTATACTTACCTGTAACACAAGGAGGAAGGGGTCAGATAAATATAAAGTACATGTACAATAGTAAAATATAAACAATATCTGAAAACAGAAAGCCATTATCTCATTAAAATAATAATGCAACGCGACACACATAGAGCTAAATATTCAATAATAAAAGAAGCACAAGAGATAGAAAGAGAATTACACTTAATACAAGAAAATACACAGATAAAGAGATTAAGATGGCAATAGTTAAAAGACACAATGAACTGTGGCGAAAAAAGCCCTTACGTGGACAATTTCCTAAAAAAGTTTTAGATCAGGCCAATTATAGACATAGAACTTTCATATCAATGGCTTAAAAGGCAACAGGTGGCTCCAAGTACAGAGTCATCAATATTTGCAATACAAGACCAGGCCATTAATACGCGGCAACATCTACGAGACATATTAAATGAGCCAGTAGATAGAAAATGTCGTCTGTGTTCCTGTAAAGATGAAACCACACAACAAATAATATCCGGATGTGACAAACTAGTAGGGACATATTACGTAAAGCGACATGATAACCTTGTCCAGTACGTCTATTGGTGTCTGGCTAAAAAGAACAAAATAGAATTTTCTAACCTCTGGTGGCAAGAAACCCTCACCCGACCACAAATTAAGGAAAATGAGTTTGCTAAAATCATGTGGGAAATGCCCGTCCAAACTGATACTACTGTAACACATAATAGGCCTGATTTGATATATGTTGATTTAACAAGTAATAAAACATTCTTAATAGATTAACTGTACCATCAGACTACGAAATTGAAAAATTAAGCAAATACCACCTACTAAAAATTGAAGTCAGTCGTTTGTGTAATACACAGGCAACTGTCATTCCCATAGTAATAGGAACAACGGGAGTGGTAGCTAAAAGTATTAGGAAATACATAGATAAATTAGATAGCCATATTAACATTAGTATCCTTCAAAAACAAGCAGCTATTCACACATCAACTATAATCACTAAAGTGCTAGGGGATACCGTATTTGTACATAATCAACCGGACCATCTACATATACAGATCACCCAACAGTCATCAAACACGCAGCAGTCACCAAGCACAACGGATACAATAAACACCACAAACACATCGAATATACAACGTTCACTAAACATCCAAGAATGACACATGCAAACCATGCAACGATCATTAGGTATAACAGACATACAACAATCATTAAATGCACCGAACTCATCTTCACTAAATTCACTAAATTCACTCACTCACAAATACACAAGTCACTAAATTCTCGACAAAAACGAGGACGAGGGAGGAAAAGAATGAGTAAAGTCGAACAAAATACAGAAAATACATCTTGAATGACTCTTTTAATTTGCGTAATAATTTTCATTAAATTACATCTCAATATTGGAAAAAGGTAATATAAAAAACTACAACATTATATTAATTTAAAACATATTAATGGTGATATATATATACCTTTTTTCTGTGGGATGCAGGACGGGGTATTTATTAAAACCGACGTAAGTCGTGATGGTGTCATAATAATATATAATGAATACAAGCGTAAAATAGCAGCTTAATAGTGCTTTCGTATGGTGAGAGTAGAGACCCAGATACCCTTTTTTACTAGAAACGAGGCATTCCGTCTTAGTCCTCAGAGATGACAACGAATCTGCGTTTTGATTCTTAATCGAGGATAAATGTAGATGTTCATGGCCTTCAGCATCCACTTACCATCAGGCGGACTGTGTGCTTTTTTGTCACCAGCAGCAGCTATGCAGGTCTAGGGAAGAGACTAGTATCACTGCGACCTAGAAGATCTATTGTGATAGCTGCTATGGCTATAGTTCACGGCTAAGCCCTATGTCTTCAATGAATAGAAGGAGTTGCTTAGCCGTGAGCAATTTCACTTCTTCTGGGCGGAGTACATACTCGTAGTTTCCCAGAGGAGTGTTACGTTTGCGAAATAAGGGTCCGCAATCAGTTAGAATGTGTAGAGGCGTTTCTTCCGTTATGAAACAGACCCGACACATCCTTGAGTTGCTTAGTCCCAGGATGGACATGTGCTTTTTGTCACCCTTAGTCTATAAAAAAAATCAAGCGATTAATTTTACTGAAATGCGTTTGATAACTATCAAAAAGAATCTTTATAAAAATTTGTGAATGAAAATACACAAAACGTAACAAAATGGATCGATGAATTTTACCGATAATATGTAGCGGACTGAGAGTATCCACTACACCACCTACACTATAACGTCCCGTGGGTGTCGTAAGAGACAAAAGCAAACAAACTAGGAGATGGACTTCCTAATAACAACGACTTCCTAATAAAACAAAAAACTGCGGTTGCTAAACCTCCTGCCAAGCTTGGCACTATGGCAAAAACCTATAGGGGTATATTTAGCAGTGGACTTTTATAGGCCGTAAAGAATGAATGACATGTAAATTGTTCCATTCCCGCCGGCACCATTAAAATACAAAGGTCATTTTCTCCAATATTATGCTTCTGTCATTTACACGGACTAATTACTAATTGTGGCAGATTAATTGATATACAACTGTGCTCGGCCATGGCATATAATTATATTGCTGTAACTTTACTTTTTACCCGACTGCACCAGAATATGGAGAGTAATGGTTTTCAAATATATGAATGTAGGTGCGTTTAATTCTCATTCGTCGGCACGCTCTCTAGCCTAAACAGCTTGACGGATTTTAACATACGGGCTGTCAATAGATTCGTCTAAATTGTGTAAGTGACAGGATTTAACCCTTTAATGCGCAGAAAAATAAAAGTTATGTAAACATGTTTTTTTCTGTTTAATTGCATTAATGTTGACTAATTATAGCCAAAAAAAATAGAAATTATTATTATTATTGTATACTTTATCAAATATCGTATGTTAAAAATACTCAACATTGCGCGACATATTGGAACATTACCTAATAAATTGAGCGTTGAGTATTTTCAACATTGCCCTTGTAAAGGTAGTTTACTAATATATTAAAATAAAAGAACAAACTATAGAGAAAATCAAATAAAGTTTTATTTCTTATTAATTAATCATAGAATAAGTTAGCTAGACACAGCCTTAGTAGAAAAAATCAAATTCACATATTATTACTTAACATGGTAATTATAAAAACAGTTTCTCTTACTAACTAGACACAGCCTGAGGATACATTTTGAGCAAGTAATATTTGTGTACCCATTTTTACAGTATTTGCACCGTCCATACGACACAAACATGGGTAAATGTCCATTGTTGTCATATCGTACAGCATCAGTCGGTCTTGGAGCAGCTGGAGTAATTATTTTTTTAGGAGGATCGTTTTCCTGACTCACTGTCACCCTCGTTCTGTTTTTATGTAAAAGCTCAGATACTATCTGTATCCGAAATTTTTTGAGAGGTAAACGGTCTTTAGGATCAGCATGATCTCTCCTATGTAATAACCAAGCATTGTTGACGCAAATATCCAGAGATTGTGAAAACATGGTCATGTACCACCTCTTAGTTTTAAAGTTTGAACGGTATAGAGCGATAAGCATGTCCGCCAATTCTACGCCCCCCATATGGGCATTATATTGCTTCACAATCTGAGGACAATTGACCTCCACCCTAGATTCTGTATCTTTGGAATACCTTTGAATCTTTCCCATTGGATGGGAATCGACGAATGAACTAGCCAATGTCACCGGCTTATTGTCATACCATCTGACAACAGCAAGTTTCGTGTCATTGCAGACGATCTGGGAGCTTGCACCCCGTCCTTTTTTTGCGAGAACTTTATCTGCTAGTAGTTTATTTTGACAACCTCTCAAACGATTACTTTTTATGGTACCAAGACTAAGAATACCGTATTCTTGACGCAAATGGTGAATTAGCTCCAATGACGTAAAGAAATTGTCAAAATATACGACTGCAGGTTTATCCTCAATGGTCTTGCAAAGTGCTAGCACAACTTTTGCTCCAAGACCGAGGCTCTCCTCGTATTCAGTAAAAGAATGATTTCTAAACGTGTCTTCTCCACCATAAGGAATGAAATCATACACTAAACCAGAGACGCCTGCTCGAACGAATAACTTCATCCCCCATTTTTTTGGTTTTTTAGGTAGATATTGGCGCCTACTTCCCGCTCTTGTCCCTTTGTATGGGACCATCATTTCGTCGACGCTGTAGCGTTGTTCCTCCTTCATTTTTAAGCAATTAAGCCTAATTTTTTCAATAATTGGTCGAACTTTGTAGTAACGGTCGTCGTTAATGTTGCTGTTGTCGGCGAAATGTAAATATTTCCTTATTTTCTCATACTTTTTTAAAGGCATGATATCAGCGACAGCTGGATATCGTAAAAATCGACTCCAATAATCTCTGTAAGAGGGCATTTTCACTACCCCCATAATGAGTGTAATCGCTATGAAATCTTTCACATCATCGTTTGTTATATTTATAGATCTCGAATCGGTTTGAACTGAATATAAGTTTGTCTGTTCTACTATTAATTCGAATATGTCATTTGAAAAAAAGTCAGTGAAATAATCTAAGATTGAATGATGTGGATCGGGTGAGAAATCGTGTTTCGGTGGTTCAAATATAGCTGCGTACTGTAGTTTTCCTGCTCTGAATTTGAATGATAGAGGTTTTCTTACAAACTTCTTTACTTTTTTTGCCGCTGGGTGTTTAGGTTTTGTGTTCTGTCGTCGCTTTGAACGTGTATTAGGTGCTGCTGGAGACATGTTAGGTGATAATACTGATGAGACCGAATTCAGTGTGAATGGGAGCGGCTGATTTGACGGGCCTGGTGAAAACATTTGGTTAATTAAAGGAGACAAGGGAATTGTTGGTATGTGGAGTATGGAATCATTCATTATATCTTGTGGCATCGACGCAGACGAAATCGGAGTTTGGACTTCAGAACATGGTACTTCAGGTATGTTGCAATCATTTTGTTGAGGCGGAGTTGGCGATGGAGGCGTCGTCGGACGAGAATTTTCTTTGGAATTGGGTAAGTATGACTTGCTTTCATTTTGTAGCTGTAGTGGCCTAGGTGATGGCGTCGCAGGAATCTCATCTTCGGAATGTGAATCTAAGCTTAAGTCATCAATTTCAGAGGGATAAGAACGTGGTTCAGATGATTCGTAGTTGTGTTCTGAGTCAGATGATTGTTGTTTTTTCGGTTTTGTGTAATTATTGATTATAACTTCATCTTCAGATGTGCTGATGTCATCGGAGGGTGCTTTTGCGGGAGGTACAAGCTCCATAATTTTTTGCGTGCGTTGCCATTTAAGCATTTTCTGAAGCAAAATAACACAAAAAACGTAGGGCATCCAAAACCAAAGCGAAAAATGAACAATAATAGGGTCTCAGATAAGAGGGGAATAAATGTTAGTACACGCGCAATGTTGAATATACTCATCATGTTAAGTTATAGGACAAAACCTAAAGCATTTCGCAATGTTGAAAATACTCAACATAGAAAAAATCAGGTGAATAATAGTAACATTCGCATTGTTGAGTATATTCAACATTCAACTTGAAAACCATCAAACACATACTAAACCACAATATTTTCAGGCTTTTTTTCATTACGTGCATAAAATAATAATTTAAAATTGAAATGCAAGGCAATAATAGGTATCAATATGATTTAAATTGCTAATAATAAATTTTATTTACCTTAGGTCCAAACGGTGCAGATGAACGTGATGCCATTTTGCCGCCACTGTCAAAATCTGACGTTTGTGACACACAACTTTCTTTTTACGAGTTGCGTTTCGTTTCACCTTTTTTTCAAAGTAAAAATATTTTTTCTACGCGTTCAAGTTTTCATACAGGATTTATTTATTTCGAATGTTGAGTATTCTCAACTTTACGAATTAAAGGGTTAAATATATAAATAAAAATCTGGTTTCAGTAATTTTTTTACAAGAATATCTTAAAATCGGTTTATATATATAATAAAATATATTTTATTGAGACGTTGACACTACTAGAATTGTTATTATTTTGAAACAAGATCTATTTGAATTTGAAGACTGGCTCAGAATCATTTTGAAACCTTATCATTTGGGCTAAAAGGTTCATTTTCGACTAATTTTAAATACTAAAAAATGTATATTTTAAATACTAAAAAATGTATATGCTTTAAAATGTATATGTTAAGTTGCAAATTTAATACGTAACAAAGATTGTCTTTATTATTATTATTCTTCTCACCGTGCCTAAACGCATCAAGAAACTTCAAAATTCATTCGGGTTACAATAATAAATTTTTCAAACTATCACCGATACTCATATTTTCATTCTCAAACAACTAAACCTGTCATAATTGCATGTATGCGTAATCCTTCAGTAATTATGTTTAGCCACAAACTTAATAATAATATGGACGAAGAGAAAGCTAGTAGAACCAAGGTAACAACGTTATATGTTCTGCGGTATTCCGCAGGAACAATATCCTTATTTCGTTGACATTTAGGAGTAGATTTATATTATATGTTCCTCATAATGCATATTATGTTCGTTGTACTACATTTACAATGTGTTTGAATGTAAGAGCATAGACCAAAACAGACCACCAGCGCGAAGGTCCTGGGGGGAATAGCCATATGCAGGCGTTTCCCTGTGCCAAAGTATAAGTCCACGCGGTCCTAGGCGTATTCTAAAACTAGTTGCAATCGTACTGCTCACCAGACTAAATTTATTTACGCGATTGAATCCGACCTACAAAAATGCCGAATTGTTCAGTTTTTTCTTTACTGCAAAAGAGATATTTGTTACAGCCACGGCTGTATGCAAATGTAGTTGCGTCAGTTCATTACACTGTTACGACACAGAATGTATCTATGTGTGAAATTGATAGAATATTATTTTAATTGCTATGTGTGTCGATCGTGACAGACGATTACTTTTGTGTGAGAAAGTTTGCGTAACGCCGGGTTCCCTCGCAAAAAATGACAGTTAGGTATCGGAAAATAACGCTATGGGCTATGGCTACTTACATCCGTATTATAAAAGAGACATTTGCAATAACCAAATATTGAATATTTAACACACAGTGTACGAAATTATTCAGTAATATTCACCAAAATTTGACCACTTGTGCATGGGCCAGCAGTGAAAAATATTGTTTTGTGAATGGGAGTAGTCCTATATGGGCAAATTCGATTAAAGCATAAAACTTAACATAGGTTACGATTTAAAAACTAGGTAAGCGCGTAGTGCACCAGGGTCAGGGAAACCATTTGTCAGAATTTCCACAAGATAAAGCAAGTATCTACTTGTTAGAGACACATTGCTATTGTGACTGCAGCACGGACCACATTCTTATAGCATTTTAGCGAAAAATGTAATGATGAAGACCCTTTTTACTGGAAACAAGGCATACCGTCCTTGTTTTCAGGGGTCATGACTTGATTCTGAACAGATCTGGGTTTCTAAGGGCCACAACGTCCACTTACCATGAGGTAGATAGTATGCTTTTTTGTCACCCTTACTTGTATAAAAAGACATGAAAAGCAAAAAATAAACAAAGATTTAATTTACTTAAATTAAGTTAAATTTCTTAGCATAATTTCAAAGTAAATTAACATATCTATGAATAAGGAATGCGCGTATATACGAAGATAGATGAGAGTTTATAAGACACGAAAAGAGCGATGGGGAGAAAGTTCATTTAGAAATAAGGTTTCCTCCATATTTTGTTCCACGAATTTATCTGTTTTAAAAGATTGTAATATTATTGTGGATTTATTTGCCTCATTCGGGAAACTGTCTCTGCTCTTCACGAAGACTTAATGTAAGGAAAAGTCTTTTAAATATATGAATTTCAATATATCGTATTGTACTCACTGTAACCTGCACACAGTACATCCTGCTGAAAAATGAAGCATGACGTGTTTAATGTAAGTATTTAGACGACATTTTACTTGTAACCTTAAATGCTGAGATTGTGAGATTGCTTAGTCCACTCATATTAGTGAACTAATTTTTCAAACCAAATGCTTAGTCAATGCGCTACGTAGCTGCCAACTAAGATCAGGCTCCTATTCTTTAAAGAATCGTAAATGATACCGGTAGCAAAACATAAAACTAAAATTTTAAACAATTATCAAGAAGACTGAACACATTTTTCGAATTTCGTTGAAAATTATTTATAAAAGTCATCGCAGACTACATGACGCTGCTCAAGTATTCCATATTAAAAAAAAACTTTGAAATATTTTATATGCAATAAATCATGCGATGTTTTCTTTTCGCAAATCACGACATAAATCTGCAATTAAAATACATTGCTAACCGTATCACAACTTAAGCCTTTGATGACGCCCGGCTTTATGTATTTTTTCACTTATTATATAAGCCAGTGCTTAAAGCTTGACCATTGACAATACCAAGTTTTTTTCACCTTAGCACATATCGTAGATGCCCGCTGTATTATATTACTTTTACAACACTATATTATTTGTTAGCAACAAAGAAGTATTTAAGTACATACTTATTATTTACTTTTAAAATTCCTTATTTTATTTTATTCTAAAATATATTACCAATTTATTGAATGATACTGTTTATACTGATCAACAAGTAATACAATATTTTATAGTACACGTTGACTTATAACCACATTTAAGTGACGCCTAGCAGAACATTTTGCGGTGTGTTTTACTTAAGACTTTCGCATAAAATTTACAATATTTTTTAATTTTACATTTATTGAAACATAATAATAAATAAAGAACAATAGAATTTTAATTAGTAACATCTATTAGAACATTTTAAATAACAAACAAAACATTACATTATTTGATCAAAAAATATAAAAAATACTTGACATAAAGTCATTTTTTTGTGCATTTCAGCTTTAACTGCATTTTTAAAGTACAATTATTTAATAAAAAAACACAATTACTATTACTACCATACCGTCACATTACAATTGCTAAAAATTAGACCGTTGTGAATTCAGCTTTAATAAATCATTTACATATAAGCCAACATCTAGATCATACAGAACTTCTGTAAATCGAGAGTCGTTGCACCTTTAGTCCCGTTCAATTAAATATTTTTATACACAATCTTTGTCTTTATAATCATTTAGTATTCTACAATTTTTTAATTAAAATAGTGGATTTAAGTCACTTATAATATAAAATAATGTACGATATACAGAACTTAAGTAACCGATTATTAAAACGAGTTAAGTTAGCGCTAATTTCACCCTGTTCAATAATCGGCTACTTTTTTTTATAGAATAGGGTGACAAACGAACACACAGTCCGCTCGATGGTAAGTGGTTGCTGCGGCTCATAGACATCTTCATGTATCCTCGATTACAAAACAAAATACCCCAGCAAATACGAAATACAGCAGCATCTACTATTTCACGCTGGTATTCTGTGAGAGCGTGGTCCTTCCCCGGTCGAGCCGACCCATTCGTGCTACAAATATATTACTAATATAACTGCAGCATGGCAAGTACATAAGTCTTAAGTCAAGTAATAATTCAAGTACAGTAATTAAGTAATCAAGTACAGTACTTAAGTCCCTTATATCGTAATGTACAATTCATTTTCATGCAGTATTTACGCATCACGAGCCATGGTAGCTTGGATGGTTAGCGTTCGCTGTAAATTTATGTGAGTGCTCTATTCCTGATGTGCGATTCACACAATGCTCTGTAGGTAGAGCTCCCCTCTCCCTGGATATCCACAAGTCGAGTGGGCCTGACAGAACACCACCACCCCCACCCCCAATTGTTCTGAGCACGTGTGCTCCGGAGTTTCAGTTCTAACGCGTCTTTACCGGTACTCCTACTCCCTATGCGTAGTCCCGAATTCATGTAAGCTTTCGTGCACCTGATCCCTTAAAACAGTACCCACTCTAATCCGTCCAACTACAGGACTGTCGCCATCACCACTTTATTCTTCAAAATAATGGAGTCCATTATTAACAGCCAGCTCACGCGGTACCTTGATGAGCACCAGCTGTATATTGCCTGCCAGTGAGGTTTCCGTCGGGGTGGCTCAGCTGATTATTGTTATCAGCTGGTATCTTCTTGTTTATCTAACGAACCGATGGGCGTAGGCGATCCAAACCAAGGGGGGAACTGTAGTGGGTTACTTTAGACATAACGAAGGCCTTCGATCGTATTTGACACAAAGCGCTTCTCTCAAAGCTTCCTCCGTATGGGCTTCTCGAGAAATGCAATTTCATTTGCAATTGGATCACCAGTTTTCTGTCTGATCGGAGCATGAAAGTCTTAGTAGACGGTGCATGCTCCGATTGCAAG